TTGTTTGACTACCCATAAACTCTATAAACCAGTTATTTGTTTATCTCTAAGGCATTTTCTTTATAAATACTTAAGAGAGTCCTTATATCCAAGATCAACTTACTAGTTTTTGGCTAGACACTTCTATACCTATAATAGAACAAAAATAAATTAGATAAATTTATGAATTTCTTGTAATTAAAGTCAATAAAAAAACCCATTTCTTATATCATGGTTGATTGATCATTTTGCTTCTATTTTAATTATTATTATTTTACCATTTTATTTCTTTTCTCAAATTATGTATCAATCTATTTATTCCCTATTTAACCATCAACAATTAATTAATTAAGTAAATGGACAAATTGATCAAACAATGTCCCTCAAATATTGGTCAAAGAGAGTCAAATTAATATCTAGTTTGAAAAGAGAAGGAAGAGAGTAAGGTGATAAAGTAACTTTAGGGGGTGTTTGGTTCAAGTTTTTGGAGAGGATTACCGGTAATCCTTCTTTGGTAAATGTAATTACCACGTTTGGTAGAAGGAATAAATTACGATTCCCGGATATCCAAGGATTACCGGTAATTTGATTTATAAAGAAAAGTCACAATTCAGATTACCAAAAATAATATGGTAATTCGGAATACCAATCAGAATACCAAGTAAAGGGAAAGCACAACAATAAATTTTGAGACAAAAATACCCCAATACACATAAAAATCTAGACCCAAACTATCAATTACAAAAGTAAAAATAGTTTGGGGTTATTTTTGTAAAATAACCTCATATTCCAAGTCATATTTCGTTTTAAACCAAATATGGAATCAGTAATTTTTACCCAATATTCCCGGTAATATTTTGGCGAACCAAACACATCTTTCGTAAGATTCCAAGTAAACTCAATTTCTACTGAATTCCCATTAATCATGATTTCCGGTCACCAAAAAATTTCTCCTGTACCAAACACACCGACAAAATGATCAATCAACACTCGTAATAGGCTAATAGCAACTTGATGTAAAAAAATCCGTAGATTACAAAACAGTGATCTATTCCCACCACGCATATGTTGATGCAATTATAGAACTTTAGAAGTATTAGTCCTCAAGTAAACAAGGATTTTATTTATTTATTTATTTATTAAATTATCAACTTGTAAAACAAGCAAAATCTCACATTTTTGCCCATAGTACAAAGGTAGATTTATGGAATTTTTCTTTATAACGTTGTGAAGTAACAATAGAAGACAACTGTCATATTTAATTTTCTCTTGTAACAAGCAAAGGGATGGAAGCTTTTGTGAAGCCAAAGAAAGACAAAGGAGCTTGATTAGTACCTTATGTTGTTGGCATAAATAAGAAAATTAAGCTACCAGAATTGGTCTATCAGTGGGCATTTGGTTCAGGTAAAATTATTTTTGACAAGAGAAATGAAATTACCAGAGATCTGTAGAAAAAGTGAGTTAGATGGGAAAGTTAAAAAAAAAAGTTGTTTGGTTAGGTCAAATATTACTAGGCAAATTGATTAAAGTTTTTGAAATCTATGTTTGGTTAAAGATAAAATGTTGATGGGTAAATAATATAAAATTACAAAAGTAACCCCATAATAATTTTTTAATATTTTTTTTTTGATAAACCTAATTTTTTAATATTAAAACAAGTGGACATGCACATAACAACACAACACAAAAGTAACCCCATAATAATTTTTTAATATTAAAACAAGTGGCTATGCACGTGACAACACAACACAAAAGTAACCCCATAATAATTTCAGTCTATTTTTGGTCGTCCATGTTTTCATTTAGCCAGCTAAATGCATAATACCATGCCCAACTTGTCCTTCTCAAAAGTGAATTATGCTTGCCTTTCATGACCTTTTCTAAATTGCTATGCAATACAATGAATGAGAAAATATTTTGAAACTATGTACCAAACATAAATGTCATAGATTGCCAATATCATATGCATAGAAAATTATCTCAAAGTCTTGAATCAACACTCCCTTAGTGAAGAGTTTGAGTAGTTGTATTATATTATGTGTTCAATTCTTATATATATATATATATATATATATAGAGAGAGAGAGAGAGAGAGAGAGGTAGGATCCTTTGACACCAGTGTCAAATTTGAAGTTTGACACCTCATCTGAGAGTCGTTAGATCAAAAAATATCAATAGTGTCACATGCTTATAAATCAGAGTCGTTGATCTTTTTTGATCTAATGGCTCTTACATGAGGTGTCACTTCAAATTTGACACCGGTGTCAAAGGATCCTGCCTCATATATATATATATATATATGAGTTTATCATCTATCATTTAATATGACCACAAAAAGTTTCCTACACACACAACATTTTGTGGGACCCGCAGCAAAAAAAAAAAAAAAAACTTCGGCACGCAAAACGAATCTCTATAACATAACACAATCACTTTTCCTACAACATAACTCTTATAAAACCCTATATATATATATATATATATATATATATATATATATATATATATATAAACTGGCCAAAAGTAGTGAGTCATAGAAATGTTGGGGACATGTGCATGATCACTTACCTTATGATATGCAGCCCACTTTTCCCAAGCCATAAATGGATCATGCCGAGCACTAGGTCAACTCGTTAACAAGCTTTTTAGCATTTCACAATATTATTATATCTTTTTAGCATTTGTTTGGCCCCATCTCTTTTAACATTACAAGCACTAAAGTTGGCATCATTATATTAGTTTCTTCTTGCCATCCATTTGATTCAACATTTCTAAATGTATTGCAGAAATACTTTATAAAGATAGAAAGACACATCTCTCATGTGTAGAATGTTAGATAGTATGTACATTTATATAAAAATAATAATAATACAACTATATATAAGTATTTAAAAAATTACCTGTAAAGATTGAAAATTGAAAAAGCAGTTCCCACGTAAGAGCTGAAACAAACTCATCATAATAAGTGGTCTTTGAACGGGTCAGAGAGTGAGAGAAAAAGCACTTGAGTGCTGAACTTTCAAACCTACAGGTAAGTGTCCCATTTTCAAGAGAATGAAGACCCTTTATAATGTCAGTTTACGTTGTTTTAACTAACCATGTGCAGTATAGTCTTCCCTGTCAGGTGCAACACTTTTCTTGTTATGCAACTGCGGAGTCCCAGCTCAAGGAATAAATAACATTGAAACTACACACATATGTATAATATGGACAAGTTCTAAAACTGAACAATAATTTAAAGTTTAAGTTTTAAAATTAAAAATGAATAAGGCAAGTGGAGATATATATACATTAAAAGGCATAAATGTAACTAAAACTTTTAATTGTGTGAAGCGCTGATTATTTTTTTGCCTTAGCTTGTTAAACAAAACTAATGTTTTTTTATTTATTAATTTCATAATAAAATGTAGCATGAAACCCACAAACATAAATATTAGCTTATATAAGGGATATGTTATTCTACTTACCTTTTTTTTTTATGCCTACTTTGTCTATTACTTTTTAACATTATTAGATCAGAATCTATTAAATGTATTCAAATAGGATCATCCTAGAAAAAATGAAGTCTATAGTCCTATCTCTTTTCCTATGAACTAACAAGGACTGGTTTAATTAGTGAGATAAAATTGAATTAATACAATTTTTTTTGCTCAAACAATTTCATATCTTCTTAAAAAGTAAAGATGATAAGATTACCAAAAAAGAGAGTAAAGATGATAATAATATTTTAAATTTTGATTGAAATAAAGTATAAAATATTATGTTATTGATATATTAATAATTCTTTAATAATAAAAACTTCGCATTCAATTTTTTTTTAAATAAATGATTGAGGATATGTCAGGTTGATAAATTACTCTGCTGCACTAATAGACATGCACAATTTGATTACCATACATATTGCATTAATTGTAGAATAATGTATCAAAAGAAGATAAAATTTTCTTTTTATCTCTACGAATCATAGCAACGACTCCATGCTAACGTTACAAACCTCTCGCATACGTTTCTAATTTAGACCGTTACAAACACACAGAAGACACCAATTCATTAGACCCCAAACATTTTAAAACTCAGAAAGAGACCGAAGAAAGAGAAAGAAAAGGGCACACAAGTAATTTCATAAAAAAGAGCAACCAACGCAACAAATGCCACGATCACTCTTTCCATTTCCAGCTGTGACCAAATCATCCTTGTCCCCTTCCCTACCTCCGTCACATGGCCATTCCATTCATAACTCAACTCTAGTAAAGTAAACCTTTCCTTAACCATGATGCTTCCTTTTTCCTTCTAAAAAGCATAGTGATGAATTTACACTGATATCTTGTCTCTTTAGAAAATTAAAAAAAAAAATAATTAAAAAATGAATTCTATGCTATGATTGTTATAAAATGAAAAAATAATTTAATTTTTATTGCATACAAATGAAATCCACTCAAATTTTTGTAATGGACTTCATTCAATTTTAATTGATAATCTAGACACTCGTTTTCTTACTAATTAAATTGTTTAACTTGTTATATAAGTTGTCTTGGATTCTTAATAATTTTAAACAGAAAGCGACAAAATCAAATCTAAGCTAGAATTATTACAGCAAAAAAATAATGAAGAATCTAATATTATTTTGTTATTTACTAAATAAACGTAGGGATTAATATTTCTCATGTTAAAATAGATAAATTTATCACCTACATACGTAAAAATATATAGAGTCTATGTGAGACCATATAAAAAAAGAGAGAGAAAGAAAAAGTATAAATCCTATATATTTTTAGGGAAAAATATTTATCATTTTAAAGGATGTAAAGTTGTGTCATTTTAAGTGAGAGAAAAAGATAGATAAAGAAGGAGAGAGGGTGGACAAAAAAATACAAAGATATGAATCTCACCTATTTATGAGAATGAAATAACATAAATTATGTTATTTAAATGGACATCTCATATTTTTACGTGTATCTAAGAGATAAATTTATCTATAAAATATTAGACTCATAAATGCGATGAATAAAAATATGCAAAAATAGTGTAACCATGGTTAAACAAACCCAACAAACACACCACCACCTTCTTCCATCTTTAACTCCTGCTTCAACTCCTCACTTGCACACTGTCCAAACTCACTCTCTTCACTTCCATACATTCTCTCTCTCTTACCCATTTCACCAAAATGGGTCACCACTCAAACCTCTTACTCCTCTTGTCACTCACCGCCATCGCGGCCACCGTCTCCGCCCACAACATCACCGCCATCCTTTCCGACAACCCAGACTACAGCGACTACAACAACTTCCTCAGCCAGACAAAACTCGCCGACGAGATCAACAGCCGCCAGACAATCACCGTCCTTGTCCTCAACAACGCCGCATTCTCCGCCGTCTCCGGCAAGCACCCACTAGCGGTAATTAAAAAAGTCCTCAGCCTCCTCATTCTCCTCGACTACTTCGACCCAACAAAACTCCACCAAATCTCCAACGGCACAACTCTCTCCACCACCCTCTACCAAACAACCGGCAACGCCGAGGGAAACGCCGGCTCCGTCAACATCACCGACCTCCAAGGCGGCAAGGTCGGCTTCGGCTCAGCCACTCCCGGCTCCAAACTCGACTCAACATACACCAAATCCGTTAAACAAATCCCTTACAACATCTCCGTTCTCGAGATCTCCGCGCCGATCATCGCGCCGGGTATCCTCTCGGCTCCTCCGCCGTCAGCCGACGTTAACATAACGGCGCTCATCGAGAAAGCCGGCTGCAAAACCTTCGCCTCATTAATCGTTTCTAACGGCGTCATCAAGACGTTCCAGTCAGCAGCGGATAAAGGCTTGACCATCTTTGCGCCGTCTGATGAAGCTTTTAAGGCACGTGGCGTCCCTGATTTAAGCAAGCTCACCAACGCTGAGGTGGTCTCGCTCTTACAGTATCACGCCTCCGCTAAGTACCTTCCCGTTGGATCTTTAAAAACCACAAGGGATCCGATCAGCACTTTGGCCACCAACGGCGCCGGAAAATTCGACTTCACCGTTTCAGTCGCCGGCGACTCAGTCACTCTTCACACCGGCGTTGATTCTTCGAGGATCGCTGACACCGTGTTGGACTCGACTCCGCTCTCTATTTACACCGTTGATAGTGTCCTCCTTCCATCTGAGTTGTTTGCGACGTCTCCGTCGCCGGCTCCGGCACCGGAACCAGCCGGTGCCCCTTCTCCGTCTCCTGCTTCGACTCCTTCGCCGGCATCTGCTCCTTCTCCGCTTCCCGCTTCTCCTCCGGCTCCCGCAGGTGAGACGCCAGCTGGTGCTCCGGCGGATGCGCCGTCGACAGCGGCGGAGCGTAGTTCCGGCAAGTCTGCAGGTGTTCACGTGAAAGCTTCTGCGGTTCTTACGCTTACAGTGACTGCTTTGTCTGCTATTGTGATTTCCTCTGTTTTCATGTCCTGATTTGTAATTTTACGGTATTCTGCTTTTGTTTTGTAATTTTCTTTAGTTTTTTTTTTCTCTCTCTCTCGTTCCTGAATGTGATTGGTTTGGAGAATTTTTTTAATATTTTTTGTTAAAAATTAATTTAGGCATGTGATGCTGTACGTGAAGGTTTCGGTTTTTTTTGTGTGTAATTTTTAATTTATTAATTTTTGCGTTATAGAATTCCGCTATGGTGCTTCGTATTTTACGGTATATGTGCATTTGTGGGATTGGATGCCACGTGGTGCAGTCCGAGTGGGTCATAACTCATACGTGTTCCCTTTGGAAAGGACCAGCGCATGTTGTTGTACTTTAATAGTGGAACAACAGAACCCAGATCTGGTTCTGAAGACTGTGTGGCGAATGGTTTTCCAATTTCCAACAATTTTTTTTTTTAATTTAAGTGTTTTTAGAAATCTAGGTGACGCGCGAGGCGCGTAGCTTTTGAATTGGGAAATATCATTGACTCCATTTACCATCAATCATTGTGCCTTTTTGAGTTTTGAAGGACCAGGCTTTGGCGTGCTGATTAATATCGATTTCTTTTTTTTTTTCTTTTTTTTGGAATAAGGGAATTACAAACTAAATACAAGCTCTAAGGCTACCAAAGCCTATTTCATCTCTACGAAGGAGAGACAAACAACCGTCAGGGGGTTGTTGTAGGATACATAAATTCCAATCTTCGTGGTCATGACTAAAGCCTGCAAGCCAATCCGTTACAAAGTTACCTTATCTAAAGGTGTGAGTTAATGTAGTTGTCCAAGCTTCCCTTAGGTAGTTTCTAATTCTGGAAGCAAGAGAGGCTAAAGGGTGGTAATCACCACATTCGAAACCATGGAGCAAGCCCCAAAACTCTGCTTTCAGGGCCGAACCACTGCTTGTGTTTCTGTGGAAACCCATGATCCACTTACCATCTTCTCCCCTAATGACTTCTCGACAACTAGACTCGGAACCTCCATGCATGCTGGTTGCTGGATCCGTCAACATTGACCTTGATCCAACCTTGAGGGGGAGCCTTCCAAGTAATAATCCGCTCCACTCTTTCGTCTCTTCGAAGGCCACTGTTGGTCAGCTCCTTGTTGGCGTTGCATAAACTCCTAGCGTAGTCCACAGCTTTCCTGATGACTGATAACTGGTGAAAAGGCTCCCCTTCAAAAATGAGTTTGTTGCGAGCTTGCCAAATTTGCCAGCATAAGATGCCAAATAACACATTCCATTTAACACCCTGCACTCTGGTTTTCATAGCGTACTTAAGATTCCCATCAATCTACCTGGCAAGATCAGATTGGAAAAAATCTTTGTGTCTATTCGTAGGAACCAAGGACTCCCAAATAAGGTTGCTGCTGGTGCAGTTTCTCATTACGTGGAGACCGTCTTCAGTTTCATAGTTACACCTGGGGCATGTAGCATTAGGTGCGAGATGGCTCTTTTCTCTTGGCATTGAGGAGCCAGATGAAAGTTCTAATGCGTTGGGGCCCTCCCAGCCCCACACCTGCTTCCAGTTACTTAGGTGACTATCCTGATGGTTTTCCAAAAGGGAGTAGTAAGCAGTCTTAATGGAAAAAACACCATCTTGAGCTTGGTCCCACACCACTCTATCTTCTCCTTGGTTCGGGTTAGGAGGGATCATGGAGGCTGTCTTCTTGCACGCCTCCTCATCAAGGAATGATTGAAGAAGAGGCCAATTCCAATTACCATCCCCAGCTATAAATTTTTCCACCGTCCAAACGAGTTGTTCCTCAGGAATGTGAGCATTGGAATGCTGAGCCAAGCAGTCCCAGTTAGGAATCCATCTCTCGAACCAGAACTTAGTTCCTCTACCATTGGATGCTCGATCCTTCTACAATGTTCGGCCATAATTTGACGATCCCTTTCCAGATGAAGGAAGAGTTTCGATTAGACTTAATTATAGGAAACAAGTCATCTCCCACTCTGTACTTGTTCTTCAGAACTCTCACCCAGAGGTCGTTACTCTTAGTAAGTAATTCATGCCCTAGTTTCATCAAAGCAGCCTGGTTAACTTTCTAGGCTTGACGCATGCCAAGACCACCATCCTCCTTGCGCCTACAAACCTTGTCCCAGGCAACGACATGGACCTTCCGCTTATCAGCTGTGGAACCCCAAATGAAGTCCCTCACCCTCTTATCTATATCCATACACGTACGGGCAGGGAGGGGGCAAGACATCATGGTATAGAGGGGCATAGCTGACAACACGGATTGAGCCAGGGTAGTTCTTCCTGCCAGGGATAGAGTCGTTCTCTTCCAAGAGCTCAGCCTTTGGTCCATTCTCCTGAGGATATGAGAGAAAGTAGTTGTGTTAATCCTACCATGAACAAGAGGGATTCCCATGTATTTGCCAAGGTCAGAGGTAACAGATAAACCCAGAGCCTGAGTGATGGCAGAAGTATAATTATGGTTGATGTTCTTGGAGAAAAAAATTATTGTTTTCTCTCTGCTAATACGTTGTCCCGATGAAGAGCAAAAACACTCAAGAATTCCCGAAACAAGGTTGGCTTGCTCCAGAGAAGCCTCTGCGAAGAGGAGTAGATCATCCGCGAAGAATAAGTGAGAAATCAGAGGACCATTCTTCCTAAGGATGACCGGTTTCCAAATCTCTCTGTTACATGCTTCATTAATAAGATGGGCAAGCCTTTCAATGTAAAGCACAAAGAGGTAGGGAGATAGGGGATCCCCTTGCCTTATTCCTCTTGTTGGTTTGAACTCCCTCGTCGGTCTACCATCCCAAAGAACGTTCATTGAGCTGGAAGTGACACACTCCATGATGAGCTCAACAACCTTGGCCGAGAATCCAGTTGCGATGAGGGTCTCCCTAAGGAAGTCCTAGCTCACACGGTCATAGGCCTTCTCCAAATCTACTTTGATTGCCATCCACGCCTTTTTGCCTTTCTTGGTTCTCATGGAATGGAAGATCTCTTGAGCAATGATAATGTTATCTGAGCTATGTCTCCCCTTGATAAAACTGCACTGGTTAGGTTGCACAAGAGTGTTCATGTGGGGTCTCAACCGGTTGGAAATGAGCTTAGTCATAATCTTGTAAGCCACATTACAGAGACTGATCAATCTGAATTGTTTCAGGTGAGAGGGATTAACAATCTTGGGGATGAGGCAAATGAACGTCTGGATAATATCTCTTATTTTGTCAGGACATTCAAAGATGTCACGAATAAGGGTGGAAACAGATGGACTCACTTTACCCCACTGACTCTGGAAGAAAATGGCTTGGAGGCCATCTGGACCTGGCGCCTAATAAGGATGCATTGCGAAGATGATGTCCCTAAGCAACAGAAAGACTCCTCCTCGATCAAAGGAAAGTGATTCTTCATCGGCCAAGAGGGGAGGTTGACCTCACTACCAGAACATAAGTTCTCAAAAAAACCTACCACCATAATTTTGAGCTTTTCAGGTTCGATCACCCAGGAATCATTGTCATCAAGGAGCGTTAGGATCTTGTTAGTTCTACGCCTGATCACAGTTGATGTATGGTAAAAACGAGTGTTCCTATCACCATAGACCAGCCAATTGCATCTAGACTTCTGAAACCAATTAAGCTCCTCTTGGAGGTAGATGCGATTAAGTTCATCCTATAAATCGTTACGCAAGCTCTCCAGGCCATGGATGGGATGGTTGCTGAGCTCATCCTCTACCCCTTTGAGACGGGCATGAATTCTGAATTTTCTGTTGAGGTGGGCCCTGTAGGTATTGCAATGCCATTCCGTCGCTTCATCTTTGAATTTGTCGCAGGCGTTCGTCCACTGAGCGGCGTTGGTCCAGCATCTGTCCACGACATTCCCAAAGCTCTCACAGGTAAGCCAGGACGCAAGAAAACAGAAGGGTCTCTTCTCCCCAGCTCTTCTACGAGCTGCATTATCACCAAGGAGGATATGGCGGTGATCGGAGTTGAAGAAGGGAAGGTGCTTGACAGTCCTTGAAGGGAAGCACGTGATCCAGACTGCGTTTGAGAGGGCACGATCCAATCTTTCAAGGAGCTGGCCCCTCTTCCAAGTAAAGTTGGGACCAGAGAACCCCAGGTCTAGAAGGTTAGCTTGCCTGATACACTCACTGAACTCCTTCATTACACCTTGGCAAGGAGATTAAAATCGATTTCTTGATTCCAGAAATGTACATAAAATTATAGGGTTTTATTTTTCTTATGTTGCAACACACAAAAAGTGGGTGGGATCCACTTCTTTATTTTCTCTTTCTTCCTTTTTAGTGGGCCCCACTCACTTTTTGTGTGTTGCATGAGACAACTTGTCTCATGCAACATAAGAAAAATAAAACCCAAAATTATAACGTGTTTATTAAAATTGATATATTAATAAGAAGGATTTAACGTAGAAATGTATTTTTTTAGTGAATTAATAAAATTATTTTTGCCACCTCAACCAATTAGTTGATTTATCGATAAACCAATAGAAAAATTAAAAAAAGAAAGAGAAAAATTGTATAAGCATGACAATTTTTTTTACAGTAAAATTAAAATATTGTTAATAAAAAATAGTTAATGGAATAGGGTGATTTTTGTGTTTTCTCTGAACTTTTTACCTTTCAATTTAAGGAGATGCAAGTGAGGCATACGATATGATGTTTATATAATGGGCAATTATTTTCTCATTTATGACATAAGTGGGTCTCACTTTGAATTGTTTTTTCTCACTAATATTTTGTAAACTCCACTTATTCCATGAGTCAAGTAGGAGAAAATTCCTTTAAAAACAGAAAATATTTTCTCTTATTTAATTTATGGTTTTTTTGCAGGGATTTTCGCGGTCTGGATTGGATCAATTTTGGAAGCAATAATCATCTGATTCAGTCTCTTCGGTTTGATCATGTAATCTTCCATTCAGTTTGGATTTTTTTTTCGAATCCAATCCAATTTTTTTCGATTTGGATTAGATCAGTTTTCGATTTTTTTTATAATTATTGTGCAAATAACATACGTTTTGTATGTATTGTTTCGTAATTTTTTTTTTTTTTTGAAATACAGAAGCATCAGTAAACGATAATCTATTTTTTTTTTTTGCGCAATGAAATATGAAGCTCTAGACAAATAAAATTTTGCTAATGATGTGTGACTATTTAGTTAATGGGTTGATGGGTCTTGGGTTAGAATTTTTTGGGCTATGATTAGAGAAAGACCCAAGTAGGTAGAGAGAAATTAATATATTGGATCCAACTAAACCGAAAATCGATCCAATCCAATTAAAATTTGTGATTTTTTTCTTCAATTTTTGATTTTTCAATTTTCGGTTAATTTGGTTATCGATTTTTTGGTTTGGTCATTGCGGTTTGGATTGGTTGATGAATACTCCTATTCTTTTGGGTTGCACCGTGGGAGAGGGGTTAAGGGGTGATTACTCCTTCACTTTTCAATATCAACTATTAGTATTGTCTACATATTTGTATAGTCATGGTTAACACCATCCATCGTGTTATTACAAGAATTGCTTATTGTATTTTTCCTAATTTTGTTAAAATATAATGCTTGAATTAGTTTTAAATATACAAAACTATGAAACATAATGGGAATATATAGAAGAAGTGAATTTGTAGAAAGTATATTTAAAGCATAATAGAATTGATTTTGTTTCAAAAGAAGGTTATTCTTACAACTTATTTTTGTTTACGACCTCTTACAATTACATCTTAATCGTTGATTTCTGTCAATCAATTATAATTGTTGATTGGCAGAATAAAAATTGATTTTGTTTTCTATCTAATTTGAAAATAGATTTAATAATTATCTAAATATCAATTAATGAGGAGATAACTAGGGGTGAAAGTGGGCTGGGCTGGGCCAAGCTTTGCCCCGAAAAGCCCAAACCTATGTCAAAAAAGTTTAATTTGGCCTGGCCCAAGCCTAGTACGAGTCTAACTGTTAGCTTGGCTTGACCCGTTTATAAAAAAACAAATGGCCCGGCCTAGCCCGTTAGCCTGTTAATTTTTAACTTCCAAGCAAAACCATGAATCAACTTTACAAAATACTCAAATTCTGTTGCTAAACTAAAAATTTTAATGTCTAAACAGAATCATGAATCACAACAATACTCATACATTCTGCATTTAAGTCAATTTCAAAAGTAAAATGTTCAAACTAAATAACATATATTTCATCAGATCCAACAAACAAATTCATACTATGTAGATTAAAATAACAACATGAATCCAACAAACACATCATGATGCTTGTAATAAGTATAACATCTCCCAAAAATCTTTTAATATATTCATATACACAATCTAACATGCTGAGATGTTGGTTCCTTCTACATAAGAAATAAAGTCAGATTTCTATTAAAATATAATCGAATATAATTAAGTTATAAATAATTACAATTGATTAAATTTATATCTTTTGTTTTTTCTTCAAGTCATATTTATTCTATTTTATTTTATTTAAAATAAATAATACAATATAGCGGCCTGTAGGCTTATACGCCAGGCCTTGTGAAAGTGAGCCCACGGCCTTTTTATTAAACAAGTTTTTTCAAAGCCCAAGTCCGGCCTATTTTACGAAATATACTAGATAAGGCTTAGCCTGACGTAGGCCCCTGTGGGCCGGCCCGACCCAGTTTCACCCCTAGAGATAACCCTTATTTCTAAATATCTTTAAAGGGTGTATTGTATTGAGATTTCAAATGATTTTAATGGATTATTTTTGGACAAAAAAATTCATTGGTATTTAATTAGGATTTTAATGGATTGAAAAAAGTCATATTCGATTAGGATTTTAAAATATTATTTTAGAGTCCATCCAAATCCGTTGGTATTCAATCAAGATTTTAAACAATGGAAAAATAATCTTATTGTATTCAAAAATCTAACGATTTTAATAGACTTTCTATTTGTGTGGATTTCGTGAGACTTTTTAGTAAGAAATATAAATATGATGTTTCTCTCACAATCTCACCCTAATCCCTAAGATTTCTTGAAATTTCTCTATTGCATTGTTTTCTTCTTCCTTTGGTAGGTTGACCCGCTCAAAATTGGGTTCCGCCATGGAAGCTTCGTCAAAACTCTATTTCTGAGCGATTTTTATCACAAACCAACCGAGAAACAACAAACCAACTATATTTTAATATATTCTATCTCGAAACAGCATATTTTTAGCCATTTTTGAGAAATTTTGGAAGTTTAAAAAATAATTTTTCAAGCTATGGGTCGCAATTTTCTTGGCACAAAAATGTGTGATTTTTGTATTAAAAACAACATAAAATATTGGAAAAATAAAAGGGGGAACTAAAATCCTCAAACCAATTTTCGATTTACATCAATGAAACAATATCAATTTAAAGAAAGATTGAAACTTTCATAATATGAATCCTATATTTCGTAACAATACATTCATACACAAAAATCCTTCACTATAAGAAACTATTTCAAACAATTTTTGTGTCAATAGATAACTAAAAACTTATTTTTCAAAAGCCCTAAAGCAATTTAAGGTTTAAATGTATCGATTGAAAGAAATTTAAGAAAATTTCTAAACTTTCATGTAATAAAACCCAGAAATTCATATTCGAGATTTTCTTAGAATATTTAATGAAAATACACATATGATATATGGTTAGAAAACTCTCATCGTATAGAACAAAAACACTAAAGTTTTCAATATCAATTGCAAAAAATTCCAAACAAAATTTTATCATGAACTTTAGGTTCTATATGCATATTTAGAATTATTTTAAATTGGTTCTTTTAATCGTATATGCATATCTTTGATACCAAATGAAGAAGATAATTTTCAACCCATTGATAAATCCAAGAGCAGAACGAGAAATCCTAATGCGTGGATGATTAGTATAACTTTGGATATATGAAGAGTTATTGTTTAGTAATTTTCAATATTTGTTAAAAATTATATTATGTTTTATTAATTAAGAAAATTATATTAGGTTTTTTTTTTATTAATTTCATTGCATTTCTTTGTTTTTTTATTGACTCTTGTGATTTTAAATGTTTGCTAAAAATTCATATGGATTTTTAAATCTTATAAATTCATATTATCCTTTCAAATCTTATAAATTTTATTAAAATCCTTTAAAATCCAATCTTATGAGATCTTGATTGTAAAAAAGTATTTTTAAAAAGTTTTTAAAGTCTTTCCAATTCTAAATAGTCTTTTAAAATTTATAAAAATTTTATCTCAAAAAAGTCTTTTAAAATCCTAATCCAATACACCCCTTAAATTTAATGATATATTTTAATAGAAGAAAAAAAAACAAGTCTGTAAATTTCAATTTTTGTACTGAATTAAAGGTACCAACTGCCAACAGTTTTTTTTTTTTTTTGAAAACAATAATAAAATTTATCCTAAATTTTTTTGTACTGAATTAGATCATTTTGGTGTTACTGATTAAGATTTCAAAGGGTAAACTCATATAAGAGTTTATCCTAAAAATTTATTATATTAAAAATTCATTAATATAATCATGACTCTAAAAATATGAGAGTAAATCTTCCAATTCCCATGTAATATTCACGGAAATAATCATAATAAGAGATAAGAGTATTAATATTATAATAAAAAATAATAAAATCATCCCCGTTTATTTTATCCTTTGAAATTTTAATCAGTAACACCAAAATAATCCTAGGGCTGACGGCACCTTAAATTATCCCTAGTTTTTAAGGATATCATCTTTCGAAATAAAATTATTTTTTACGCACATATAAAAATAGGTAATCCCATATAGATCAATATAAAGAGAAAAAAGAATACAATAATATAAATCCTACACACTTTTATATATGTGCAAAAAATATTTTATTTTTTATATTAAAATTAAATCCTTAATTTAAACCGTATCCTTATACGGTTTACTTGCAATTTTATTTATTTATTTATATTATTTTTGCGATGGGATTACTCAATTTAAAAACCCGAAAGGTTACTATTTATTGATTTTCAGAATTTGATGAGCCAGTTGGGAGACTCTGCTACTATGGCAGCTAATATTCCCGCAACAAGCTCTTCTATGACGACGTCGTTTCACCAGAAACGACATCGTTCCATATTCGAAGTTCCACCAAACTTCTTCGATTCATGTCGTCTTCTCCCTTCTCTTCACTCACCCGTTTCTGAGAACCACAACGAAGGCCTCAAAACTATTGAACCACCCTCAAACGACGTTGTTGTTGACGATGCCCCTCCAAACGCCGTCGTTTCGGCAACTAGGTTGACATGCAATACCTGCAAGGCTCAATTCGATTCCCTTCAAGACCAGCGTTCCCATTTCAAATCCGACATCCATCGATTCAATGTAAATCTCTCTGTATTCGCCATTCAATTTTTGTAATTAGTGCTTTTTTTATTTTTTTTATTTTCAGATATTACTTCCAGAATGTTCCTTTTTCAGTAAATTTGGCAAAATTTTGAATACCCTTGTTTGGTTTAAAGAGAAAAATTCGAACTTTTTTAATTGTTTCGTGGACTTGCAGTTGTGTTTTATCTTTTTTAAAAAAATTTACTTCCAGAATGGTACTGTATTCAGTGAAATTAGGTAAAATTTAGGATACCCATTATGCTTTGAAGAGCAAAAACTCATAACTTTTTTCTGATTGAGTTCCTGGACTTGCAATTGTGTTTTGTGTATTGGAAGCTTGATATGATCATGTGCAAGTTCAAATGCCAGCATAATGTCTATTTTGGTATGTGGATATAAAAGTGAATGCTAGTGATTCTTGTAAAGAACCAATTCAACCCAAAAGTTTAAGTTATTGGGTGAGGCTACATTAATAGTTTTTATATATCTCAACATGCCCCCTCACCCGAGAGCCCACTGGGCTTGAAGAGTGGATGATGCCAGGCCCACCTACCTGTGCGAAAAAAGAAATTCCACTAGAAAGAAAGTGGGGGTCGGTGAGGATCGAACCCGGTACACCGAAGCTCTGATACCATGTAAAGAACCAATTCAACCCAAAAGCTTAAGCTATTGGGTGAGGTTACATTAATGTTTTTATATATCTTAACAATTCTCATTAACTTCTATAATGGGTTGTATTGATAATAGGTGAAGCTGACAATTGCTGGAAAGAATATTGTGAAGGAAGAAGATTTTGAGGTGCTTACATCTGAATCTGTCAAAGACTATGATGTGTCAAGTATTTCAGGATCAGAAAGTGATGATGACAGTGACATTGAGTCTCAAAGTCAAAAGGAAGTGCGTGACAAATCAAGTGAAAGTTTGAAACAAAAGCTACTTATATGTCTTCAGACAGGGCAGAGAGTTTCTGTCTGGAAGTGCTTGATTATGAATATGACTGAAAATGTATCGTATGAGGATGAAAAATTGAAGAACGAAGTGATTGAGAGGTTGAAATCTCTGACTATTGAGCCTAGGGATAAAACACACTTGAGGGTCGTTCTTCTTGCATCCGGTGGGCATTTTGTGGGTTGTGTCTTTGATGGTGATGCGGTTGTGACCCACAAGACATTTCACAGGTTTGAATATGCTTCTTGATAATAAACATTAGAAATAAATGGTTCTAGTTTTTGTAAGAATTATTAATGACAAGTGGATATGATTAGCTTTTCATTTAGGCAGACAGTGTGGGGCGGAGACTACCTATAGCGAAATATGCATAATGCATACACCATTCAACCATGCCCAAAGACTAATATTAAAATATCTGTGAAGCACGTATCTTTATCACTTTTTATTCTATTGGAGGTCTAATTCATTGGAATTAGTTCATAATGCATCACCCATTGTATATTCCCTTCCTGAGAATAAGTATAATGTTGAGAACACCTTTCCTCAAGGAATCCTTTTTCTTCATTGAGACAAGCCCCAGGAATTAAATCTCATATGACTTTGAATCGATTTTATTTCTGATTTAGCTATTCACATTATAGCTATCTATTACCGAATAGACAAGTGATTAGGTGCAGTAATGCCTATCAGAATGAAAATGTATAACCTCTTCATTCATTCATCTTATAGTCTGTTTACTAATTTTCGCTGGAGGTGTGAAATATTATATAATTTGTGCTTGAGCTTCTGCAAGTAGTTGTTTCACTTGTCAACGGTTCTTTTCTTTACTTCCCCCTGTTTTTATGCTCTAAGGCAGTAAGGCATATGTTGTACTTCCCAATTATTGACCAAATACCTGTATCACAATTTTCCTTTTTCATTTTTATTGTTGATAGTTCTATTTTCTTATAAATTGTAAATGGAGTGTTAGGCACGAGCCAAATCCTAATTAGGAGAATAAGCATTGGAGGGCATAGTCAAGGAGGAATAAAGATTAGGGGGTTAGTTAGTTAACATAATTGGTTACAGCAGTAGTTAGTTAGGAGTTAAAGTTTAAATAGCAGGAGTTGTACAGAATAGAGTAGACTGAAAAGATAGTTGACTAACCAAGGTTTCTTAGTTTTAAGGGTATTACCCTTGTGAGGGAGATATTCTCCTTGTACATCTTCTCTCTCCCTCTCTCTCTCTCCATAACTGAGTAAGAGAATTCTCCTTCTCCATCTCTCTGGTTTCTTTCTTTCCCTACCATTCATCCTGCAATTCTAGTCTATTTTTATATGGGTTCCTATTATGGAGTTTTAAAATTTGTGTCTATCTATTCTTAAACTCTCATTATTCTTATGCAGATATGTTGTAAGGGCCAAGGCAGGAAAAAAACAGTCATCAAAAGATGCTTCTGGCAGGGCTGCACATTCTGCTGGGGCTTCACTTCGTCGTTATAATGAACTTGCATTAAAGAAGGTATTCTAATCAAAGCTATATTGCTTTGCTTGCCAATTTTTTATTTCCATGTTAACCAATTGTTGTTTTTCCCTATGGTTTTCTGAAACTAATTGATAGAGCAAGCATATTTATATTTTATCATGGAATTGGAGGTAGTTGTATATATTATACAGGTTAATAAGTGTGTGATGTAACCAATGGCACTGTGCTTTCTTATTTCATTTGAAGATGTGGGAAGTGGGAACTTTTGTGTGGAGGGAAATATAATTAATTGAAATTAGTATGGCAAAGTATTTTTTGAAAACTACCAAGTTTCTTTCTTCTTTACTTAATGGGTAAGGGCAATATAATTTGTTATTGTGCTTTTTGCTATATTGAAAAAGGTGTATAATATGTGTAACTTTAACTGTATTAAGAATTTCTCCCCATAAAGTACAGACTGCCTACTCTCATTTATTTATAATTAAAATAACAGCTACAAAGCTTGGTTTCTCTATAGATTTTAGAGTGACTAATGTCAGCTGTGTGATTGCATATAAATTGTTTTACTAGTAGTAATACAAATGCGACAATTGGCCCTATTGGTCATGAATTTTGACAAACTAACTGTTTAAGTCATTATTCTTACAATTTTACTTACAGTTCTCAAACACACGTGGAGGTGCAGAAAAATTCTTGCTTATTGCCTTCTTTGTTTGTGTGTGTGGGTGCATGTACATTTGTGCACAATTTAAATCGGGACTGATTAGTGGCATACCAACATTTTTAGGAAGTTCACGACCTGCTTATTGCTTGGAGACCTTATTTCGATGCTTGCAATTGCATTTTTATAAATGCACCTTCAAGTAGTCGTCAACTGCTTTATGATGGAGAAAGACCATATTTTACCAATCGGCAGTGTGCTATTAGAAATATTGCTTTGACTGTACGGAGGCCTACTTTCAGGGAAGCAAAGCGTGTATATAGCCAGTTGACCCAAGTATCCAATGAAGCAGATGAGAAGGAAATTTTACAAAGCAACCAAGAGGACTTAGTATCAATTGACATTGCTAAAAGAAATGGTAGCCCACCCTCCAGCAAAGGTGACATGGCTGAGTTGGATGACAAAGATCACACTGAAGCTTGTTCGAGTAAACAAAATGATAAACTCCCCATTTCGAGTGATGAAGAGAGTGAAAATGAGCAACCTGGTAAATCAACTCCTTTACATCAAGCAGCACAATCTGGTGACTCTCAAAAGATTATGGAACTCCTGGAACAGGGCTTGGATCCTTGCATCAAAGATGAAAGGGGACGGACCCCATATATGTTGGCAAATGAAAAGGAAGTCAGGAATACATTCAGAAGGTTTATGGCGTCAAACCCTGACAAATGGGATTGGAATGCTGCAAAAGTGCCTAGTGCATTGACTAAAGATATGGAAGAATCACAAGCTGCTAAGCAGGTGATTCTGATAGTTGTAGGAATAAGTTTTGAAATCTGATTTAAATTCAAAATGATTGCATTTTTTATTATCCGCATTGTTCTCTTTACTTTGGATGACTTGCTGATAAATATTATTGGCAGCAAAAGAGAGACTAGGGAATAAGTGTGTGTGATTGAAAAACGTGTTCTTCATATCAGGGAACCTTGTTTCTGAATATGTTTCCTGCCAGATCCCATTAGACATGATGCATTTCTATTGTCAGACGTTGATTATGTGCCTAGATGCTTATATATAGCTAGCAACATCCAATAGATAAGGAATATTGTTTATATTTTTTTTAATAGGAAGGGGCATGTGAATTTTTTATGTGCATACATATCAAGGGAGGATGTTCTATAATTATATTTATATAAACCTGTTCAACAATGAAGTGAAAAAGAACACATAATAAAGTCAGGAATTTTGAGTTTTTCCTATGCCAGATTTGCCACATAAGTGGCATGTTTAGTGGTTGAACAGACTAATTTTTGCAAGACATCCAAGCATTAAATAAAATTTATTTGCAACATGGCCTTCCATTTGGTAGAAACATTTGTTGGATTGTTGTTGCTGTGCAAGAGGTATATTTTACATTATCTGCTTCTAATATATACAATGTTCTCTGCTTCTTAATGTAATCAAATCTCCATGGCTTATTTGGCTTAATAAATGATCAAATCTAACAACTTTTAACTGTATCCTGCCCTTTTATTTGTTGTATATATATATATAGCTTATTGAAATATTTCAACTATGGAGGTGGTTCTTTTTCATTCTGCTAATAATATCCAATGTTCATTTCTTCTTGATCTTGAAGTTTTGACTTTTGATAATCAAATCTAAGAACTTCCTTGTCAGAGTAATGATTGCCTCCTTTTGTGCTTGTACAGGCAGAAAAAGATGCTAAGAGGAAAGCTAGAGCAAAAGAATTAAAGAAATTGCGTAAAGCAAAAGAAAAGAAGGCTCAGGTACATCTTAACTGGTTTCTGTCTCCATGTTATATGATGGACGACCTTGCATCAGATTTTAGGACCTATCTCTGATAGTATTTTACCTCGGTTTATAAAATGAAATTCATTTGGTAGTATCATATTTTTTGCACATACAGCATTCAATCTCGTGGCTTCAGTTTATTAGGGTTTACCTTAAATATTTGAGAGTTAGCATGGTAGTATTGACTGTTGAAGTAGTTGGCCGAGTGAAAATGGTACATGCTCCTTCAAATAACATTCCTCTGTTTCTTCCACCTCTGGTTACCAAACATTACACGATTAGCTTGTGATTGAGTCTTGAGCAAGTGTGCATGAACAAATGAGCTTTCTTGTGTATTATGAAAGGGACTTTTACACTTCAACAACCGATTTTTAAGTTCTATTATTGTTCTTTGTCCTGTTGCTCGTGGTTTCGGTTTGAGGGGCCAATATTTCAGCCAGCTACAGATTTTTTTGCAGAATTTTCATCAAAAAAAATAAATTGGTTTGCCATAATTTGCATCTTCATTAATACATGTTTCTACTTTTTTACTCATTAATATTCATTCCTTCTGTTGAAAAACATTACTCTGACGAATCTCGAATATGGTGTTCAGGCTGAAGCTGCCTTGCCTAAGAATGATTCCAAAACTGGAGAAAAGCAAGTGACTGCTCAAGCATCTACTAAGGGACAATCCCAACCAAAAAGTGGTGTGCAATTATCTAAAGAGGTTGATACTGAATTTTTGGTGGCTGAAAATCTAAATAAGAAAGTCTTTTGCACTTTTAATGATGGGTTGAATCATGCTACACATTTAGGAGATTTCATAACTCTTCCATGTGAGTAAAATTTTAATTTTATCAATCCACTTTTTATCTTAAACAGGAGGAAATAAGAGCATCTCAGGCTGCAGAAAGAGAAAAGAGAGCAGCTGCTGCAGAGAGAAGAATAGCTGCACTCAAAATTCAAGTTAATAGTGGAACTGCTGCACCTAGCAATTCAGAGCCTAAAAGTGGATTAGCCAGTGACATTTACTGTTCCTGTTGTAATTCATCACTTGCTGGTAAAGTTCCCTTCCACCGGTATAATTACAAATACTGCAGCACATCATGCATGCATGTACACAGGGAGATCCTAGAGGATGGATGACAATGTGTTAAGATGTTTTACCTCCTTTTTTTTTTTTTGGTACATACACTCCTACTTTTTTTTTTTTTTTTTGGGTACATACCTCCTACTTTTTTTGGTGTGTAAGTTAAGATTACTCCAAATATCCATTGTTATTGATATGGTTGTAAGGAAAGAAAAAAAAAAAAAAAAGCCCTGGTGGAAGGAGTGAATGGAAAATAACATGAGTTTAGGATGTTTGAAGGGGAAAAAAAATTGTTTTCCAAGCAACATTGATGCAGCTAGAATCATAGGACCCAAGCGCACATGCCAAGGGTAACAAGGTAGCATAACCATGGTAGTTAAAATCGGAACAAGAATAAAAAATCGTAAAACGTAAAATTATAACGTAAAAAAATTTGTAAAAATTTGTAAAATTGTAAAAGCGTTTGGAATTTTGATGAAATTATTTTGATTAAAAAAAGTCATACAATCGCAGATTTAAATTGGAATTTTAACTGCCATGAGCACGACTATTAAAGAATAAAGAAACTAATAATTAAATATTTTCATAAATAGTGTAAATATGTATTGCTATGTCATTGAAAAATACGACCTCTTATGTACTTTATTTTATAATTAGATTATTTTAATTATGTAGCTATACATGATTGGATAAAAATTATAGAAAGGGTTTTACGCTTATAGCATATAAATCAAAATTAAGGTCATGATTTGAATATGGATAGTTATAAATCTTTATTTGTATTATACTCAAAAGTTCAACAAAATCATACGGGAATATCAACTGTTAAGATCTATTAAACTTTAAAATAAAAATTAGGTATTAAAATTACTTTAAACTAATCTACGAACATGAAATCTTTGTATAAAATCGTAGAAAAATTAAACAAACAATAAATCTAACAAAATATAAACAACAAATACCTGTATTTAGGGAAATGGATATATGGTATGTTGTCAGATAAGGTTTTGTCGTTTTTCCTTAACTAATGGAAACCAGAACCTAGAAAATAAGAATGAGAAGGTGAGAATGATTTTGGAGAACGTTTCTAGTGGAGAAAAAAAAATTTATCGGAAAAAAATAATTTTTGAGAATATGATGAGAATTTTTTTTTCCTAGGTAAGTTACTAAAGGTATTTGGTAGGTCAAAATTTTTTGAGAAATGTTGAGCTAATTTTATTGATGTTGTGTGTTAATTTTCTCACCACATGAAAAAAAAAAGACAATTCCATCCCTTTCAATGATAATCTTTCCCAACTATTTTATATAAAAAAGCAAATGATGGGAAAAAAAGAATTTCAATCATATTTTTACTTCATCTCCTACCAAATATAGACAAATAATTTTCCTTAAGAATTTTTTTTTCACCTCTTACCAAACACCCTGTTGATATTCCTTGAAGATTGATCCAGCTACTGAGAATTAGTGGCAATAAAAAATCATAAGATAGTAGAATTTAAATAACTTGATTCCTTGCCAGCTTGATACTTTGTGCATTTTTTTGTTCAAACTTGCAAAATACAAATCTTCAAAGCAGGGACACTCCAAGTTGGATCCTCCATCGTTATCTCAGACTTGGCATTTTCGGAAGTCAACATGGATCCTACGCTGTTATCTCTATTTTCCATTTCCTTTCGTTTTCCAAAATTTTTGTTTGTCATTCCATAATTGGTTGCAAGTTGTAAGAAAAATCTTGTAGGGTCGTAAAAATCCAAGACACCAAATTAACATCAAACACGGCATAATGCATTGGCCATGCATGGATAATTTGGTTGATAACAACATTATGCTCAATTGATGTGACAAGAGTAATGAGAGACTTTTAACATAATATGTATATATTGTTGTCACATAATCACGTTACGCGGAGCCATAAAATTTTGTGACAGGAGAAATAAATTTCACACTAATTTAAACAAGGTTACACTAAGTGGGTTTATATGGAACCCAATTTAAAATGAGTATTATTTTTCTCACAGAAAAATCATCTCGTGTCCATACAAAGTATAATGTGGATCCCGCTAAATAAATGAGAGAAAAACACAAAGTGAAATTCACATTACACTTCTTGTGTGCATGAGAATTTCTCTCATGTAACATAAAAAAAATAACACCCATTTAAAAAAGAGGTTGCATTTTCTTATGCAACATGAGAGGAGCTTTTTTCCTACACATACAACCAAGTGGACTCATTAATTTAAAAAAAAAAAGAAAAAGAAAAAAAATATTAACACGAAAATCGAGCTCTCACTAACATGAGAGAAACTTTATTTCTACGATATAAGATTTATTTATCCCTTTAAAAAACTCTAAGTTTTCATATATAAGAAATAATAGGGACAAAAGTTCAAAGGCTGAACTTGAGGGGTGAGGAGCATACTTATTTATATCAAACAAATTTGGAAGTTTGAATAAAGATTTACACGAACTTAAAGGGGGATGATTGCCCCTCCTGTCTCCACTCTCCACCATTTACATTCACATAACAAATGAATGAACCAAGTATAGAACTTTGAGAGGGAAAAAAAATTTAAGCTCCCGTCCCATCTTAAATTCTTGTGGTCCCTCTCACAATTCAATTTTTGATTTTCCCATTTTATTCCTGTTTTGATTTTCATTTTCCTTTCTTATCCTCTCACATGTGAGTGGGAGTAGCTAAGAATTCTATGAGCCTGGACCATAGTATTTTTTCTCCTTTGAGAGATGTTATGCTTGTAACATTTTTTTGCTTATAATCTCTTTCAATTAAATTTTAACAGTTGATTTTCATCAATTTGATAGTTATACTTATTAAGTCACACTTATTAATTAATTATTAATTTTCAATAAATTATAACCATCAGATTGACAGAAATCAACGGTTAAGATCTGGTTGTAAGTTTACTAGTTTAATTTCCATAAAATGAAATCTAACTAACATTAAAAAATTCCCAACACAAAAATAAATAAATAAAAAAGCAAAAGAATATGCACCTCTGCACACCTACATAGCTTAATAGCATACATCACAGCTTATGAATATGGCTGGTCCATTTGAAGCCACCTTCTTTGTCCACCAGCAAACCTTCAACCTAATCACTCCTGTCTCAGTTGTTTGCAACTTTGCTCATGATTCCTTCATTACCCACCGCCATAAAATCAATACATTTACATTTCCCACATTGCTAATGCTGGGCTTCCAAGTTCAAAACTTCCCCATTCCAAGTTCACCCTGTGACCACTAGAGCTTCTGTGTTTGGTATATTAGGTTACTACTTGGCCTTCAGGGCCTGGCTATGTTTGCCCTTATATGCTACTCAGTTAAGCATTGCCATGGCAGTTTTTGGCTCATTTTCCTTGTCTTCTTTGGAACAGTGACCAAAATGTCACTGTTCATCAACTTTTTTACCTAAATACCACGCGAACAGTGTTATTTTCTAATCTGTCACGGGGGCAAGTTTGCTACCGGTGTAGCAAACTCGGTTTGCTGACGTGTCACGTTTCTAGTTGACACCAACTTGATTTTAACCAAGTTCGCCTACCATCAGGCGACCTTCATTTTTTTTTATTATTATTTTTTTTAAATTTGATACTTGTTATCCATTAAAAATGTGACACGTCAGCAAACCGAGTTCGCTACACAGGGTAGCGAACTTGCTCCCGTGGCATATTGGAAAATAACACTGTTCGCGTGGCATTTAGGTAAAAAAGTTGATGAACAGTGACATTTTGATCAGAATTCCGTCTTCTTTGATGTCACACTGCTTCAAGTATATTTTTTATGTTTTACTTGCAGTGATTGAGTTTCATCAAATGGTCACAATTTTGTATAACAAATATGGCGGGAGATTAATAATATTGCCCATGGGGATCATGACACACATACTTAGATTTTGCCACTGACATACATGATTTTTATTTTTACAAACTCAAAGTGTCCTCATCTCGTAGGACGAGATTAATCCCTTTGTGACTTGGAATATAACGATTTTCACCACTGGCTCCAAAATACTTTTCTTAAGAATCGAAACTATAACTTCATTAGTCAAAGGAGCGTGACCCTTTAACTACTTAGCAACTGAGCTACACCTTAAATTTGAGATACATGGATTTGATAGATAAGGCCTAATTAATAATGGAAGCATCAGCAAGCTACTCTTTCTTCACACTCATGCTAATTTGCCTCATAATTGCATGCTTCCTATATTTGCTAATGGAAAACCTGTCTTGTAGACAATTTTAAATTACAAAGACAAATTTAGGTATACAAAAGTGCGAGGTTGTTTTTTATTTCGGTCATAAAAATAACCTTACCGCAACTCAAAGGTTTACTCTCAAACTTTCGAAAAAAAAAAAACAGGCTTACTCTCAATTTTATTTAAATTATAAAAGTATACAGTTACACGATGTAAAAAATTAGTTTATAGGCATGTTGCTTCCAATAAAGTCTATAATCAACTTCTGCAATAAGAAAATTCTATTTTTTTTTTAACATTGAAGAGGTCCTTGGTTCAAATTCTAAAAAAAAATTCTTAATAATAAAAATATTGCTACGTGATGGCAATGGAGGAAGGAAACCCATCTCCTTTTATGAAGAATGACAGAATAGGAATGTTTGGCGAAATCATTTTTAGGAATCAATTTTGGATGGGAGTGTTTTGAAAATCTTGTACAAAACATATAAATGGAACGTGCTCATGTATAGATTCACATCAATTAAAAAAAAAATCCTCAAACCAAATCATTCATTTTTTGTATTTTGGTTCTCCTGGAGAATGCAGACAAAATAAAAAAACATCCAGTTATGTTTTTTTAAGGGAAAAACTATTCTTATGCAATAACATAAGAATAGTTTTATCTTCAATAGACCCATTGAGAATTGTGACATTTTTTTTTTTAAATAGCGGGCCCCACCACATGTGTGTCTACAATATGAGAGATCTTATTTTATGCAACACTAGTAAATTACCCGTGCAATGTCCGGGAAAAAAGAACAAAATCATTGTCGCCGTCGTTGGTTAATCATCACACCAGTAAATCTAACACTTTCATCTTGTTATTAAGCTCTGAACGGTACTATGGTAGAGGTATAAACATGAAGGAACAAAAAATAAAAAAGCAAACCTATTATTTGAGAATTATCTGAAATAAAAAAGAATTGTCTTACTATTTTTGAACTTTAAAAGGCTACAACATTCATATAAAACTTTGTAAATATCAACCACAAACAAAATTTTGCAATTCAAAGGCATTGATT